AGAGAGAGAGAGAGAGAGAGAGAGAGAGAGAGAGAGAGAGAGAGAGAGAGAGAGTCAATGATCAGAGACTGGATGAGTTATAAACGAGACGGGGGAGATACAACTGAAAACAATGCAATAAAGTTCCTGGATTTACGCTCGTCTACATAGTCCTGGCCATGAGAATCTAATCTCTCTCTATCTTCTCTCTACTCATGGTTAGAATTTTGACGGAGGGATGTGATGCCCCGGAGGGCAATATACTTGGATAGCACAGATGCGGCGAGATGCCAATAGCAATCAGAACAGTGGCAACGCGCACCCAAACAGTAACAACTGCAATTATAGTGTCGCTTAGGAGCAACAAGAACCTGATAATAGTAATCAGTTTGCAATAAATACTAGACATAGTTATCAGCTTATCATAATTAGAATTGGAGTTGCCTCTCATACAGTGACCTGTAACCAGAATAATAGCGAGAATAACAAAAGTGCGGTAACAGTAATGATAATAGTTACCAACTTACCAGAATTAGAAATAAAAATAAGTTAAAGAACTGTGTAAGGGCCTACTCACACTAGCCTAAGGGTCTTTTATGGCAAAAAATAGCTAAATAAAATTTGATTGATGGTTGGGCCAGTCGCACGAGGCAGGGCAAGTGGCAAGAGCAGCAAATGGGGTATCAAATGTCAGCGGGCTGGAGGGCCACGGGGATTCGGGGAAGGGCATTTTTTGCTACCACCTCTGGAGGTGGTAGCAATTTTTTTTCTTCAGTTCGAGAGAGTTGTTCGTGAAAGGAAATTCGAAACGAACTTCGTTGGGAAACAAAAGAAAAGTAAAAGTTGAAGGATTTGGGCCTCGCGCTGTGTGACCACGCGAGGCACCATTTTGTCCGGGTCGTGTCTTTTGTGATCGATTTGCTGCCGCTATATGTGACCGGGCGGGGTGGGGTGGAATTTCAGCTAAATCGGGATAGCGAAATTCCCAGATTTCTTTTTCTGCTGTGCCACCGCTGTGTGAGTAGTCCCTAAGAAAACGAAAACGATTTCTTTTACTGTGTAAGAATATAATAAGTTCGTAATAACAACATAACAATAATAGCAGCTACCGACTTACGGTAATTAGAATTAAAAAATCGCCGAAATGGCCACCACGGTGGGATTGATATTGTTCGGGTGTAATCCAGCAAATCATTATGGCCAAAACGAGACCGCTGTCGCGATGGTGCCCAACCCTGAGGAGAAAAGGACTTGCTCAAGCAGGCCTGAAGAGTCACACAATCCAAAATAAACCACACTGTGACAACGAAAGAAATCCACAAGGACAGGAAAAAAGAACGCACAATATTCTTCTCTCAAATCTTCAAGGATTATGAAAGCTTTGAGGCATGAATATAGCGTGGTTTTCAAAATATTATCCCCCCCCCCTCCCTCTTTCCCCCCGCAAAAAAAAATCCTTGAGCAAGACCCCCATACTCCTCTATTCAAGAGTCCCATCGAAATAAATCAACCCTCAGCCTCAGCCTCAGCCGGAGGGACCAGGAAGCCATACAAACCAGCACAACAAAAACCCGACAACGCTACACACGGTATTTCAGCCATTCTGCAATTCATCCTGCCCAACGCTGCGCTGGCGCTGTCGAACGTTTGCGCCACATGGGAGATGTATCCAGGCCAAAACTCACACTGCGACTTTCCTGCTTGTTTCTGGTCGTCATTACGCTAAGAGATATCCCGGTTAAGCCAATATGACATCATATAGACTCATTTATAGAGTAAGGAAAGCGCTAGTGTACGTCGCGATTGATCGTTTGTTCCTCGCGCCAGAAACGGGGAAAAGAAAACGAATGAAAGGAACTTCAAGGAAGGGTAAGTATAACCAAAGGGAAGACATGAAAGCGAAATGGAACTAAGAAGACCGACAAGACACAGAGAACTAGAAGTAATTATAATTTATAACAAGGAAATGAGAGGAACAACCGCGGCCGAAAGAAAAAAACAGTCACTGACAGCCTGTCTTGGCAAAGCATAGTTGCCAGGATCCCACTCATCTGGACTCTTGTGTTTTTCACCGCAGACCCGTCTGGGACACCTACGGGCAGAAATGCAGCATTCACGTAGCGAATTCACGGCCGAGAGAGAGAGAGAGAGAGAGAGAGAGAGAGAGAGAGAGA